AGTGTTTGTTTTTTTAAAGTAAAATTTTGCATTTAAATTAATTTATACGTCAAAACAAAAATAGGATAATATTTCTAAAGTTTCAACTATTTTCTAAAGTTTCAACTAATTGGAATATCGATTAAAAGTTTTGGGTTGAATTTAAATATTTGATTCTCTTGGATGTATTATTGTCATATTATTTTTTTTAATGAATGTTATTTTCGTTTTGTTGTGAAATTTGTTAGGTTTTTTATCAGAAATTTTAGATTTACTTTACGTTTTTTTTTTAAAAAATCAAGTCTAGATGAGTGCAATCCAACGTAAAAAGTCGCGCGGCTTCAATCAGTGGTCAGGTTAGCTCCAATTTCTCCATTCAAATATGACCCATGGGATAATAGCCTAAAGCGTTGCGTGAACTTTATAATATTTTTCTCAGATTGCCTAAAGCCTCAAGGTGTTTGAATTTCTGGGATAGAGGAAAAATATTTACACTATTTTAAATTAAGATTATTGTCCATATCTTTGTTGTTAACACAACGTCTCGGCTGTTGTACCCACCGGCCTTCTTCAGATTTATGTCGATCTGATTCACCTGCAAGAAATTTAAAACTGAGGCCTTATTTAATCTACGGTGTAAAGAGCGTTCTCGTTCTACTGAGCATGTTTAGTTCTACTTTTGAGTATTACTCAGTTATAGCTCACCTCTTTCCACTGAGTGCAAATCAGTGTATATAATGTAATTAGTGGAAACGAATGAGCAATAATAGAAAAGTACCAATGAACTAGACAATATCCATAGACAAATAGTTAAATGTCTTGAAATGTCTATATTTCTCAGATGAGCTATTATGTACACTATTTACATTATTCGGACTATTGTCCTCATCTTTGTTGCCATATTTATCACAACGTTTCGGCCCTTCAGTATCTGTCGATATTTCTGAGATGAGATATTATGTACACTGTTTACATTATTCGGACTATGGTCCGCTTCTTTGTCGCCATATTTATCACAAAGTTTCGGCCCTTCAGTATCTGTCTATATTTCTGAGATGAGGCATTATGTACACTATTTACATTATTCGGACTATTGTCCTCATCTTTGTAGCCATATTTATTACAACGTTTCGGTCCTTCAGTATCTGTGAATATTTCTGAGATGAAATATTATGTACACTGTTTACATTATTCGGACTATTGTTCTCTTCTTTGTCGCCATATTTATCACAACGTTTCGGCACTTCAGTATCTGTCTATATTTCTGAGATGAGATATTATGTACACTGTTTACATTATTCGGACTATTGTTCTCGTCTTTGTCGCCATATTTATCACAACGTTTCGACCTTTCAGTATCTGTCTATATTTCTGAGATTAGGCATTATGTACACTATTTACATTATTCGGACTATTGTCCTCATCTTTGTAGCCATATTTATTACAACGTTTCGGCCCTTCAGTATCTGTCTATATTTCTGAGATGAGGTATTATGTACATTATTTACATTATTCGGACTATTGTCCTCATCTTTGTATTAAACTCACACTCTTGTGGGCCTTGTCACTGGATCTAACCAACGCCTTGATCCACTGACAGGACCCAAATACCCTCTTTAGGCAGTGGAGAACTTTCAGAGGCAAATTAACAGGAGATAACTGATAACTTACATCCATTTAACATGGAACGTGGAACTAGAACAGTCTACCCCAGTGAGCGAAATAAAGGGTTCAGTTACACATTCCAACCACCTGAAGAAGGCTGGAGCGAACAACGGCCGAAACTTTTAATAAATATGGCAACAAAGATGAGGACAATACTCCGAACAATGTAAATAAAGACTTGAGATATGCGTTTAAATATATTCGACGAAAATAGATCAACCAATCTGTGGACTTACACCTTATTATTAAAGATAATTTTTTTCTTTTTATTATTAATCTGCGAAATAGCGCATTGTTGCGACCATAGCAAAAATAGAGCAGTGCTTACTAATTTGTTAATCCAGTGGGCATTAAAGTATTGATTCAGGCGATTATAAACAGAAGGATTTGGGGATTACGTTGGGTGCTGTTTGCGAAAGTTTTGAAGGCTGATGAATATTTGGTTAATTTTGTTTAGCGGCATAACAACATCTTAATTGGTTTATTTAATGCTAAAATCTAAATATTTTGTTACGTAATTTTATGTTTTCAACGACAGTTATTTTGTACATGAAATATACTCACTTGGTTGCGTTTAAAAGTTGGTGGACGCAGATTTGAATATTTAATTTAAATTAATATTTAATTTAAAACTTTAGTCTTTGTACTTGAACGTCAATGAATATTGCATTTGTTGTTTAAATATTGAGTACATTTTGGGGGGAGACGCACACACATAAACACACACATATATAAGTGTGTGTACATTGTCATCCACAGACAGAGAGTATCACATCTGATCAGTGTGACAGACATCCGATTGCTCCAAGCCGTGATCGCAACCCGACTGATTCGGCAACAGTCGGAGATTTCCCCCCTAAGCCATTGGCGCACCGTTGAAAGAAAAGCGTATTATGTATATTCTGTGAATAAACAACAGCAATGACTGACAGTGCTCAATTTAGCGAAGGGAAAGAGCCGTGTAATATTAGTAGTCATTGTTTAAAATTCGCCCATATCTCTTAACAGTGCACAACTGAATTTAAGGTTTCGAGTGCGTATATACTAAAACACTGTAAAATCAGCACATAACGTAGAAAAATATACATATGAGTAAATGAATAGGAGAAGCTACGACAACAAAACATCCTTTACAAATAGTAAATACACAACGAGTACAAAGCTTTCTAAACATATATGGGAAATTACAAAAACAAAACCAAATCACACCAAAAATATTATGGAAATTAAGGTAAACAGAAACAGCCTACAATAATAAATACCTAAATTGGAGGAGAAAATAGCTATAATTACCAGAACAAAACAAACGACTAATTAAACGATCAGAACTCATCTCAAAATGCAGACACAAAAACAATTTGTTACTATGTTACTTAAAAATAAGCGAAATAAAATAAAATAGGCTAAATCGTTAAATACTGGACAAATAAACAAACTACGAATGCATACTTAACACAAGTTATTGTAATAATATTAATCAACAACAAATAAGTAAGTAATCAACAATAACTCAGTAGCTACATAGGGCTGCATCCGAGTCCACAATTATTTGTACTCAATAGCATGTAGAATAATCTGAAACTCATTCACCAAATAAACGTCAGTATAATCCAATAGATCTTGGGCTCCTATTAGAATTATCATTTATTTATTTACACCAGGTCCTCGAGTTATGTCGGACGTGACGTACGGCGTTTCGTGGTTACGACGCCACCACCCATAATACAATATGTCGTCATGCGGCGCTATATGAGGAACTGCACGCCATATTGAATTTTCTACATTCGCTATCTCTTGTTTGCGTCTTTTTTTGAGGGAAGTACTTTTTCCCTTCATGACAGCTCCCAAACGTACGACAGACTCGTTGGTGCTTATGTAGGTGAGTTCCGACCTGCGTCGAAAACCAGTTTACATCGCGCCGTAGGAACAGATCTCCGACGTAAGTCGAGGACCAAATGTATTTGGTTAGTTGTGTGATTCTTAATTTAACATCTTTTTCACGTAATTGAAAAGACACTGATGCTCTATTTTCTAAATCCATAAAATGTTGCATATTTCAGACTTGAAGACATTACTATTATTATTATTGCCATTTTTTGTTTTGTCATGGGCACGTGTGAGACTGGTTAGCACGATCCCTTTTCGACCATGCGTACCGGTTTCGAATTTCAGCATCTCTGGAAGCTGACTTTGTTATGTTATCATCCTAGGGTGGTTACTCTAGCGTGTGACACCTTTGGAAAATGCCCCCAAACTATACCACATGATAACCAAAGCCTTGTTAGTGAAAGTGGGTAGAGAGAACTAGTTGAGAATCTTCAATGGTTGTGCTGTCAGAAAGTCCCAAGTCATCTTGCCACCTGTACACTTTACCGGAACACAATAGTGATTGCGTTGAAAAACAGGTTCTCGTACGATCGACGATGATAAGCAACGTCGAACCAAGTCAGTAGCTACATGGGTGACTGTTTGAGAATACCATGTGCTGTAAGCTTCGATGTGCGGGTGTTATAATGGATAACGCCTCGGAATTGGAAATCAGAGATGCGTATTCCAGTTCCATTCGGACTGGTTCTATTTACTTACACACAAATAGCCTCGGAAAAGGTATGAATACCCCTCTACTCGTAAATTAATAAGACATGTATCAATAAAGTCATTATTATCTCCAAAAAGAAGTTACTATCTAAAAATATTTCCTTGCTTTAAATAACCTGCAAAAGGTTGATAAACCGTAAAAAACGGATAAAAAATAACAATAGGCATAAATTGACAGTATCTTTACGTAACGCCTAAAATTATATGTTGCTGTCTATCCTCTTTTCAATAATTTTCATAGCTTTTTTTTTTAAATTTCCAGCTCATTTGCTCTTTTCATCGAGCCTCTTGGGGACGATTCCCAGTGCTCAGGAACGACTGTCACCTTTCTTATTCACAGCTTTCTCACTTCACTGTCGTGAAGCACGAGATTATCATTGCTTTTCATTTTCTTTTTTTATTATCGATATTCACAACGACAGAAAACAAGATTCCAGGCCGAAAATAAAATGGTTCTCATAAACATCACAACGGAGTGGGGAAAAATGTTTCTTCATTTTCTGATTACAGATGAACAGCCAATGTTGTCATGTTGCCTTCCCTCGATTCTCAATTACATGATTATCTCCCTTTGCCGTTTGCCCAAGGGAAATTTTAGGAAATCCTCAGCAAACGAAATGTTTATTTATTTTCGTGTTTGCTTTTTTTTTTCCCTGTAATCTTTGTATTTTATGACTTTCGTTATTGTCTCTGTTTTTCTGCTGTTAGAAAAGAAAGTGTTTGAGGTGGGAGTAGAAGTCCTTGTTGAAACTAGGGCAATGTTTCTTTATCTTTCCTGTAGGTATATTCATTTTTTTCTCAGCGAGATCTTCATAACCGTTACTGCTGTCGGTGTATCAAGGTTGTTTTTATAAAGTGTATTTTTTTCTTTTTAGTTTATTTTAATTAAAAAAAAGAGAGAGATGAGCTTCAGCATTACGGATAACGCTTTCCTGTGACATGATGAGATAAGTTTTGGATATGCATTTCGATGTTTCCCCCAATGAATCATCCAAGGACCCTTTTTCCTTGTGTGTTTTTTTTAATGAAATTCGTGATACATTTTTGTGATTTTTCCTTGATTATTTCATTTTTTCTTAAATATTTTCACGCTTTTTGTTATCCTTTCTTTTGTTATTTTTATGTCTTTATTCTGCTCGTTTTATTCAATTAAAAAGTCATTCTCTGTTTTTTTATTCTTTTTCATTCCTCTCTTTTATATTTCAAATTTTTCTTTGTTCATTCTTATTTTTATATTCATTCATTTTTTTACTTTCATCCTGCTATTCATTCATTCAGTCATTTTATTTTCCTTTCATTTAATGTACTTTTTATTTCTACTTTCTTTCTTTCTAAATAACTTTTCCAGATTCCCAGAACGAATATTTTCTTTCTTTCTTTCTTTCTTTCTTTCTTTCTTTCTTTCTTTCTTTCTAGTTCAAATATTATTTCTTTCTTTTTCCAGGACAAATATTATTTCTATTTTTTTTCCAAATCAAATAGTATTTCTTTCTTTCTTTCTTTCTTTCTTTCTTTCTTTCTTTCTAGATCAAATATTCTTTCTTTCTTTTTTTTCCAGAACATATTTTTTGCTTTTCAGAAGAAATATTATCTCTCTTTATTTCTTTCTTTCTTTCTTCCTTTCTTTTTCCAAAATAATTATTTTTCTTTCTCGAAGACATATTCCCTCTTTATTTATTTATTTACTTATTCATTTATTTATTTTCCAGAAGAAATACTTTGCTTTCCAGAAGAAATAACATCTCTCTCTCACTCTCTCTCTCTCTCTCTCTTTTTTCTTTTTTTGTTTTACGACAAAGAACAAATATTTATTCTTTCTTTCTTTTTCTCTGTATTTTGTCGACTCTTCTTCGGCGTTCTCCTTCATATAATGGGGTAGAGGATGTTGATACACTCCCAAACAACCTATGCCACCCTTATTCGCACATTGTGTGTTTTAGTCCCCATATATGAGCGAGTGAACATCCGTAAGTAATGTCACAGACCGGTCGGATATCTATGACTAAATGAGGAGTTATGTCCCCTTGATTTCCGGGTCGACGATATATGTATACTCGGGGAATCACGCCTGGTTCATATTTCCTGGATTATTTGCCCTTTAAATAAGGCTGCTGCAAATGAACGTTTTCTCAGCGTTGATGTTATCCCTCTCATAGTCAGGGGTCTTAAACTTCAAAGGATGCGATCCTATCAGTAGGTGTACAATATCGTTGCTATTGTACTGCCATTTGCGTTAATGGGCTCTGGGCTGTCTAGTAATCACCGGTGTGATTTCTAGATGCCAGCTGTATCACCAGACGATTTGATGCAAGTTATTAAAGCATGCATCTCCTGTAGGTGCGAGTGTGTGACACTATTTAGGTTTGCGTGCAAAAAAAAAGGCGAGAATTAAATTAGGAGATAAAAATCTATCACGAAAAGACGATGTTATTTTTTTCTAACAAGGAAAAGTGATAAAGATTTTATTTTCATTAGCGAAGAAAGTAAGGTCGCGGATCTGTCGCGTTTGATTTAGGACGGCGCACCGAATGGTGAAAATTTCAGGTCGGTCAGGTGGCCTACGGGGCAGAATTCTGAGAGATGAAAATTAATTGGGTCGCGAAAATCAAAAATGTCCGTTGGACCAACCGCAGAGTTACAAAGAAAGAAAGACTGACCCATTAACTATCTACGGAGATGTCGTTTGGAAAAGGTACCTGTTTTGTATCAAGAGCTGGCCATGATAGCAAAATTATTTTATCAGAACGAATAAATGGCTGTGGATATCGCCAGATGACCACCCACTTTGGCGAAGGTCTCGATTGATAAAGTCCAGGTGACATTCGGTTAAGATAAGAGTCTAAGGATTTGTTGTCGAAAAGAAGAAAAAGAAAGAAAAGAAAAAGAAAAAGAAAGATAATTTTTTTTCTTTGAGCAAGATTTTTTAAACCGAGGCTAGTCTAGCCACACCCACACTGCTGGACGTCCATTGGCTGAATGATGGCGTGAGCGGTAGGCGAAGGTAATCATATGAAGAAGGAGGGGAGGCCTGTTGACGCCCCACTGAAGGGATCCGTGTGAGATGCCACTATGAGAGAGAGGGGAAACCCATTGACACCCTCTGAGTGTATGGGTGTGATACCAATATGAGAAAGGAAGAATTTGAGAGGACGAAAAACGTCCAAATATAGAAATTAATAATTCTTCCTGACCGAGAACAAAGAAAAACCCTTAATGCGGATTTAGAATTATCAAAGAACCTAAAACCCCGACAAGCCCACCGCGGTTTTGGTCGGCGTCCATATAAGCAGAGTCGCAACGAGTAGACGGCAGTTGAGTTGAGTTCGCAGTTCGCAGCTGAGCAGCTGAGTAGTTGGGTTGGAGTTGCAGAGTGAGACCCGCCTTGCAGGAATCTGACTGAAAGATCCCACGCAATCACGACCTCAACTTCTACCAAGAACAGCTTATTTTTGAAGAACGACTTACACCACCAAAACAAGTTTTACGAATATCGCCTGAAGATACACCAAGAACCAGTTTCTTAAAGAACAAAAACTTAAGATGCTAAGACTCGCCTAACAAACACAAAGTGTAACGTAACCATATAAGCGGGTTGGGAGAAAGACGCAATCTTGTATTTGGCAACCAGATATAAAATATTGTTATCCTTTTTTAACACATTTGGACTTTTCGAGTTATTATTTTATTTTCTTTTACATATACTTGTGCGGTGTTACCCTTGTCCGGACTCAGCTTGCATTACGGCCCGGCGACTGATTTATTTCGTCTACCTAAGATCAAATCACAACGTGGGTAGGTTAGACTAGAAATCAAAACAGTTACTTCGGTAACCAGACGTTGGAGGCGAGCTAGGAATGACAGGGCTGATACCGAATCTAACCAGATTCCCATCCGAATCAGTAAAAGGTTAGAACGTCACATTTGGTGCCGGGACCAATACCAAGTCAGTTGGTCGTCACAGGACAGGATAGGACGGCGACGTCGCAGAGACTGACGGGGTGACGTCACAATTGGCGCCGCGAACAGGACAGCACGGTGGGCGCGGCCAGGCAGACGTCACGATTGGCGCCGCGTCACCGGGGGACGTCATAAGTGTTTCACTGCTTAGTTTTCTCTCAAACACATTTATCTACACATTGACACAGTTAAACTAAAAATATCAAATACATCTTCACAAACGAAAAATTAGACCCATTTCCTCCATCTCCTACATCAATGTGAGTAATTTGCGTTCTAATTTTCCAGAGATGGAACTCCATGTACTTGATGTCAAATCACCCCTAATAACTGTTGACCATGTTCACCATAGTCTATGAATAAAGAATATAGCGTAGTACGTAATCTTTTCAATGAAACAACGTTAAAGACTAACGCTGACGAATCAGACACTCTACTGAATCTGACTATATCGCCAATACCACCAGCAGCTGTTCCGTAATTCTTCAGTCTTCGATATCAAAGGCTGGCAGTGAATATTTGGGAAAAACATGGCCGCCTTTATACACGTCGCTTTGAATTTTTGAGCCTTCTGATTGGTTAGCCCTCCAATTGGTGAAAATAAAAATGGGTCAGCTTATTTTGGCTGGCTCACTAGTACACCAGGGTACCCAAAAATTCCAACAATAACTAATCTGGATCATCTAAATTGTAATGGCTACAGACTCATCGACTATATCAAGGACTATACTGCAGAGACACAAAAGAGGACACTGATCCCCTGTATATGGGCTCCCGAGTAGCACGTATCCGCAGTACCACCTTCATAACAAAATGAAGCAACGTTATTTAATCATTCATACTTTCTCTCTTTCATTTTCCCCTCTTGCTTCTCTATATTTATATTTAATATATATACATATATTATAGTCGTCCACATACCAGCCTGTTTCGCTGTATGACAGCTCATTAATGTGGTTAGTCGTCCGATTGTTTCAAACAGGGATCGAAATCCGACGATTTGGCATCAGCCAGAGATCCTAAGTTATCGGCGCACGGCAGAAAAAGGAAAATTTTTTTAACGTATTATATACGGATGTAAACAAACAAGAGCAGCAAGAGTGCTCAATTCATTAATGAAGAGCGGTGCTTTAATAGCGGCGGCGGCGGCTACTGTTTTTAAATTACCCTTTTCTCTATAGTGCCCAATCGAATATATACATACATTATATATATTATATGGATTATGTTATATATATATATATATATATATATATATATATATATATATATATATTTTTTTTTTTTTATATATATATATATATATATATATATATATATGTGTGTGTGTGTGTGTGTGTGTGTGTGTGCTTTATCATATTTCTCATCGTCGATTCAGTAGTTTTCTTCTTTTCCTTTAATTATCGTTCATTAATTCTTAGGGGCTTACGACCAATTTTCACGCAGAAGCACCGGTTCCCGGACTATTATTTCACGCTTGTAGAAGTCTCTTTTTGCTTTTACGCTTTCCAGTCTTTTGATCTTCCTTATTTTCTGTTTCATTAATTTCACTTCTTTCATGGTTCTTGTTCCTTAATAATTTTTTTTCTTATAATTTTTACACTCAGTAAACTACTGTATGTTATTAACTTATTGTCTCATATGAGATTAATGATTAAAAAAATATTATAAGAATAGAAAATATCTGAATGTAAAATAATTAGTTAATAATTAATAATCATATTGAATAATTAATAACATATTATCTTAATAATTATTATATATAATATATATAATATTATATTACAGTAATAATGATCAATAATTAATTAATAATTAATTAATGTAAATTGATACAGATCTGGGCCTAACAAATCCGCCATATAAAAAACGACCTGGTGAGACTTTGGCCTTATATTACATCAAATAATTCTACATAACGGGCTACCCGTTATGTAGAATTATTTGATGTAATATATAATTTGTCAAGAATAGGCCGATTTTCGAAACGATTCAACATTATCTACAATGTCCTCGATGGTAAGCGTAATATTGTTATGAGGATGGTATAATTTCGTCCTTGGAATTTCAGTTCTTCCCTTCTTTTCACCGATGATTCAAAGGATTATTCTTGCGACAAATACAATCTAAATTACTCCTTATTGTTGGGAAAATAGGCTCAAAATTACTTCTTCCATTACTGTTAGTATTGCAGCTGTAACAATATTTTACAGGAAAGAATTCAGAAAAGCAATTACGGATTCTCTTCTCATCAGTATTCAAATCTTTTCTTTTTTAATTACTAAACAGTTTTTCTTAAAACTTATTTATATGTTGTTGTTTTTTCAAGTACACGAACTCTGGCGTACTCGAATTATGACATAGATCGGGTTCCCAAGTCTCTTTTAAGAGTGACTTTAAGAAAAGGATCATAAAGAATGGTGATTTTCACAGAAAATAAAAATTGCGCGCAAAATAAATGTAAACAAACTATAGAGATTGTTACGTATACGAAGGAAGATTATGCCGAAATAAAGTGTCGAATAAAGATAAAATATATTTTTTTTTTATTTATAAATTCTTATAACTTTTTCTTACATAGGACGCAGAAGGTAAAAGGCCGATGGTCTTAAAAGCCCTCCGCAGTAGCTTGCGTAAAGTCTGTCCGAAGACCATCATCTCGGCTAGCTGAATAATATATGTACAAACTTGAATGTTAAAACCAAATAAACCATTGACTAAAAATTACACAATGTTTTAACGAATGATCAAGAAATTACAGGTTTTCGACACAATTCAGCATTATCCACAATGTCTTTGACGAAAATTGTAATCCTTTCGTCCTTAAAATTTCAGTTCTTCCACTTTTTTACCGAAGATTCAAGGAATTATTGACGTGAAAAACAGATTCTAAATTACTCCTTATTGTTGTGAAAAAATAGGCTCAAAATTACTTCTTCCATTATTGTTAGTATTGCAGATGTAACAATATTTTACAGGAAAGAATTCGGGAGAGCAATTACGCTTTCTCTACTCAAGAGTAATGAACGAATTTTTTTTTTTTTCAAAATTGCGTTACAATATTATTCAACCTGAATAGGTTTTAACATATCTCGATTATTACACATATTGTCAAACTATAAGCGTCATAAATGTTTCAAGAACGATTGACGTTCTTATGAAAAAAAACAAACAAACAAAAAACGTTGATCTAATACGCCAGCGTATTCCCTTACTCGTTGATAGACACGAAATGGTTTCCGACGCTTATAATGGAAATGAAAGAACATGAAACGTACAAAAGGAATCACATTTTACAAAATTTCAACTTTAACATAAAAAAATATTGAGAATTCACAATCGAATATAAAAATGCGTTGAAATCACAACTATCAGTCACGTGTGAAACGAAATTGCGCGTTTATATATATATATATATATATATATATATATATACATATAGAGAGAGAGAGATAAGAAAGAACAGGTTGGGTAAATAATCCAGAGTACTTTAGTATTTTTTTTTAATTTCAAAAAACAGTGGTCCATAGAAAAATAGAGCTTAAATTATAATTATTTAAAAAAAATAGATTCCTTCGCTACATAAAGTGCTTTCATTGAATTGAGGATGAAACAGTGCTTGATACTTGAATTCAATTGAATTTTAATAATTATGTTGAAGTTTTTGAAACATAAGAACACTTATGTAGAAAGGAATCATATTTTAAAAAACAATTATAATATATATATATATATATATATATATATATATATATATATATATATATATATATATATGTGTGTGTGTGTGGGCAATCAAGAAGCTTCTAGTCTTGAAACTGCACATTGGGAGTGGATTTTACTAATGGACGCCATCATCATAAAGAACGCTTTCAGCAAAGATGCAATTAAACTTTTGTAAAGAAAAAAATATTACCAGCAATACATTTCTGTGAAAAAATATATTATCACCAGCATATTTTTGGAAAGAAAAAAATATTACCAGCAATTCATTTTGGGGAAAAAATATATAGTCACCAGCATATTTTTGGAAAGAAAACAATATTACCAGCAATTCATTTTTGGGAAAAAATATATTACCACCAGCATATTTTTGGAAAGAAAAAGATATTACCAGCAATTCATTTTTGGGAAAAAATATATAACCACCAGCATATTTTTGGAAAGAATAAAATATTACAAGCACTACATATTTGGGAAAAATATATTACCACCAGCATATTTTTGGAAAGAAAACAATATTACCACCACTACATTTTTGGGAAAAAATATATTACCACCAGTATATTTTTGGAAAGAAAACAATATTACCAGCAATACATTTTTGGGAAAAAATATATTACCACCAGCATTTTTTTGGAAAGAAAGCAATATTACCAGCAATACATTTTTGGGAAAAATATCAACAGTAGATAAATCTTGTTGGTATTAAATATCCCTTAAAGTCGTAAAACAAAATAAACCAAACCAAACCGAAGCTATTATTCCATCTTTGTTTCTTTTTTTCCTTTTCGATATATCTCTATTTTCTTAACTGTCATTTTTCTATGAAACAATATTTATCTTTTCTCCCTTACCCTGAACCAAAAACAGTCTATCTCAACTCAATAACCTTTATTAATCTTTTTCTATTCTTTCGTTTCTTTTCTCGTATTTCCTTCGATATGAATGTGTAACTAATTTGATTTTCTTGTCAACCTCATTCCAGCATCTTCTACCTGTCGCATCATTTCGTTGTTGATGAATCAAAAAATGAACTTACCAATTTGGGGCGAATAATTGTATTTGTCGGATATTTTTTCTTCTCCGAATTAAGCATATTACATTTTCCTAAATGTGTTTCATAAAACATTTGCATTAAAAGAAAATTAATCATTTTATACAAGGGGGACAGAATAATTGTTTATATTTTCAATTGTTCTCACTTGAAAATATTCTGTCATTACTCGGCACGTGCTTATCACCTTTTCTAATATGACATTTTAACTGAAAAACGCTGTAACCTGGTGAGACGCACTTTGCGGGAGGGAGATGATAGAAAATTGATTATCAGCGTATTGGCTTCACCCAACACCATCAAGCAGTTTACGCTAATGATAGTGCATTATGCGCATATCTATCTATCTATCTATCTATCTATCTATCTATCTATCTATCTATCTATCTATCTATCTATCTATCTATCCAAGTTTATTCATAACTATCGATATATCTATGAATGAATGAGAAGATAGAAAATAGATTATCAGCCTATATCACGTAATTTGCGCTACCAATAGAGCAGTATTGGGGTAAGGGAACTATTTTACATCTATCTATCTATCTATCTATCTATCTATCTATCTATATATATATATATATATATATATATATATATATATATATATATATCAGTTCATTCACATCTATCTCTTGTATGTCCATAAATATCTATCTATCAATCTCAGTTTGTTCATATTAATCTATCTCATTTTGTTCATATCTATCTATCTATAGATCTATCTATCTAGCGATCTATTGATCTATCTATCTATGGATCTGTCTATCCAAGTTTGTTCGTATCTATTTATCTATCTAACTATCTATCTCAGTTTGTTTATATCTATCTATTTATCTATGTTTCAGGGAGGGGATATATATATATATATATATATATATATATATATATATATATATATATATATATATATATATATATATATATATCAGTTGATTCACATCTATCTATCTTTGTATGTTCATAACTATCTATCCATCAATCTCAGTTTGTTCATATATATCTGTCTATCTCAGTTTGTTTATATCTAAGTTTATTCATATCTATCTATCTATCTATCGATTTATCTATCTAAGTTTTTTCATATCTATCTATCTATCTATCTATCTATCTATCTATCTATCTATCTATCTATCTATCTCCGTTTGTTCATATCTATCTATCTATCTATCTATCTATCTATCTATCTATCTATCTATCTATTCATCAATCTATCTATGAGGGAGGGAGATAATAGAAAATAGATTATCACCGAATTACGCCCCATATCACGCAATTTACGCTACCGATAGTTCGTTCCATGCGTAAGGGAACTATTTTACATCTATCTATCTATCTATCTATGTTTAGCTGTCATGATCTATCTAACTATCCCTGGTTAATGTGAGCCGCTGATTCGATTCAAAACAACTGATCCTTTTTGATATACGCTTTCCGTTTAGCATTTTCTATAATAGAAACTATTTTCCGATTTATCTTGAATAAAAATTCTTAGACGCCTGAGTAATTTCCTGCTTTGATAAGCCATTATCAAACAAAAATCTTTAACGATTGAAAATATAACGATATGTACATCTTGTTTTGTTGTCTTATGTCAATTTTGTTTTTCTCCTTTTTTTAAAAAAAACAAAAACAATCCAGCCTCTTAACGCATCTACTACTATTAGCATCTTTTTTTTTTCTAATGCGAAACGTTTTGTATATTTATTTCAAAATTTGACAATAATTTATTTAAATTGGTTAGTTTATTTTACCGGTGAATGTTTTAATATTTGTATTATTTTTAACGTTTATATTATGTAATATTTCTATATTATGGTTAAGGACTTTTTGGATTGTATGTGTTGCGTTTTTGCGCTGTTGGTGTTTAGGGCAGTGTTGGCCCTAAGGAAAATATTTAGGAAAAGTTTTCTCCCATTTCACCGGAAGGATGAAAAATAAGGCTTTTTGTCACATCTTCTTACTTGAAGGAACTGGGCATTCTGGGTAAGCTGGTGTTCGGCAATGACAGGAATGTAAGCAACACTGATCTCGGAGGCCCATATTTTATCATTACGCATCCAGCGGCTCCACTCACCACCCGAAATGTATTTTCATTTAATAAAGTTTGTTAATAGTTTATCCTTTCGTTCGATCTTCTTATCTTTCTTCACACAACCACATTTAACCCCCTGGGGACATAACAGAAATAAATGAAGGTCTTATTTAATGACAAAATGATTTAATAATAATGACCGTGTGCCGAAAAATTCCTATGACGAACCGGCTACGCTGAAACGTCGACGCCAAAATGGCTACGTGGGAACGCCTCATTCCCTACAAAATACCGGATGCAGCTGAGGATCACGCGATTCTGTATTCGATATGCCATGAAGTAGCGATGCATAGCAACAATAACACGTGAGGAAGAACGTGGACCTCACATTCTCGTCTACGATGTCTTTGAGACTACCAAAACTCCTCTGCAGAGTGGTATCACTGCCAGGTATTCTCGTTCACACGCTTGCAAAACAAAGTTTGGTGCGTTTCGGCGAAACCCGTTCGGCGTGGCTGATTGGGCGTCAGAAAAATAACTGGATTAATTCGACACAGCTGCTTAGGCGTCAGACTATTTCGACGTGACTGTCTTTGACATCAGGATAGGAAATATAATTCAGTGGATTAACAGTTTTTTAATGCATACATTATGTTCTACTGGCGAAGTGATTTCGCCATTAATCCCATTAATATTGCTGATTGATTCTATGCATGATTATTTCTGTATATATAAAATATGCTGCCTAATATTATATATATATATATATATATATATATATATATATATATATATATATATATATATATCCCAGAAGATGTTTAAAAGAACGGTGAAAAAGTTTTAAAAATATAGAACAGTAGAAAGGAAAACTAGATCAGGTGGTCACAACAGGAAGAGGGATCATCATTTCAACTTAAATCTAAAGAGATCATTTAAAAATCATCTAATTTATAAGACGTTCGACAGGCGAGAGAGAAGTTTCAGCTATGACAGTCCAAAGAGCAGTGAAAAAAGACTTGAAAATTAAATCGTACGTGAAACCTGTAAAGCATCTTGTTACTCCAGGACAGAAAGATACAATAGAGGGTAAGGATCATATTGGAAAATTAGAAAATGATCCTGGAATAATATACAATCCTTGTATAACCTTCCGACCCTTAACTATGGTTAATTAATGGTGAAGATGTCATTTTCGTTTCTAATAGATTTCATGAGGGTTCTTCTGCTAAGTTTGGAGCGTAATAATACATTCTTATAGGTCGAAGTTGAGTCCAATAGTGTTATAAAAACCTCAGAGAATTCCAGTAAAATATCTTTAATCATTTTACGATACAACGGTTCAAAAGCTGAATTTAATAATTGAACAATTTTTCTATTACACGATTTGGACAATTTTCCTGTTGTACCTGACACACACACACACACACACACACACACATATATATATATATATATATATATATATATATATATATATATATATATATATCAGAGGAAGAAGTTGTTTCAGTGTATCTTCCATCTCTAATGGAATACGTAGTGGGAGTTAAGATGGTTCACTACAATGTGACATGGCGGTTTTAATTATAAAAGTTTGATCGATAGTAACTAAGGAATAATTTTCGTCTGAACACTTTCCATGTACATATTGAGATGTTAGCCACGTTTCTTTTGTGAGAAAGGGATGGTAGGGGGAAAAATAATTCAACGCTCACAAGGACACGGACACAACTTTGGACTCTATCGAGATTGGAAAGTGAAGTCTGGGAAGTTCCTAACCATATATGTCAGAAGTACAATCTAAGTAAGTGCTCTGATCTAAGCGCAGAGGTTAGTATGGAGAATCAGGTACTTACTGAAGCGGTAAAAGGAAGAGGTCAGTGGAGAATTCTTTCGGCCGCAGGTCACGTGGAGTTCTCGTCTGCGTTTCCTACCGACTCTCATTCCAGTTGCTGGCTCGCTTAAGTGATCTTTTCATATTTATTTCGACCGATTCCCACAGCACCTAAGGATTCGTCAATATTCATATCAATTAATTATTTTCTCCAATTTTTGAGAAAGAGTGACCTTCAAACAAAGCGGTCAGGTATTCAAAATAATACTTTTTTCGATAACAAACTTCGTTGAAGTCTTATCAATATCCTGACGACAATATAGAAATTCTGCCAGGGATGGATTGGGCTTAATTCAGGACACGAGGTCCTCCCAGAGAGGCAACTCGTTCGTTGCAATAGACTAAAACTAAGTATCAGCTACGATAATTATGTAACGACAAGTTTGTTTTCGAGGTTTTGAACGTGACCCTGTTGAGCTGTTTAATTTATGCCATATCAGTTTTCAGGCTTTCTTCATTTAATATTTTGGTGGTACCCTCATGTGGTATCATAGGAGATTCCTTCATGCATTATATACTTATACACGAGAGTTCCCGCAGTTATATCCGACTTGAAACAATTATTGTACATTATGAAGGGTAATTATGCATGACACCATTACAGGTCAGACCACATAAAACGACAATCACGAGTTTCTTACCTTCTTCATTATGACGGTAAACTACATCCGCGTCCTTGGTAAAACAATAAACTACATCCGACAGCATGGCCTTTGATAAGAAGTATTTGAGGAGCGTGGGACCACCTCTTAAATGCTGGTGATCCCAGGTTCACCCTGTCCCGAGGTGGTAGCATCTGTCAGGGTCCCAGCTAAGGAAAAGTAGTTACCCCCGCCCACCGCCAAATGGTTCTAAACACTATGAAACTATAAAAATAGGTTTTAATACCTACAATACTTTTTGGGGAAATTTTTACTATCAATATATTTTTGGAAAAATATATTACCAGCAACAAATTTTTGAAAAAGAAAAATATTACCAACAATATATTATTTTTAAAAATATATATATTACCAGAATTAAAAATATCGTCGGCATTAAATAACCCATTCATGTTGATATGCAATAAAAAATTTTAAAAAAATCGAGTCCCTTAACCCATTATGGTTATAGGGGCACCATTCTTACTGCAGCCGTAGTAGCAGTGTTTTTTCCTGAGAAAGATAGCTTGACTGAATCCAACCTTCTCAAGTCTGGTTTAATTGAGAATTTTCCTGCATCTAGACTAGTCCCCATTCAAGTCTATACGACTCAATCTGCCTTGCTATTTACCCATAACTGCTAGGTAAAGAGATGGATTCATATGTTTCCAAACCCGCTACAGGCCGGTCTGAATTCAGAGTTTTCCTTCACCTAGACTTCACCTAGACTAGCCGCCAGCCAATAATAATCCCAGGTCGAATGAAAAGTCCCCCTACGTTAATATTTAATGCATAGCTTGGAGAGAAATGATTGCTTTATACATTTCCAGAGAATATTTGAAAGGAACGAACTCGACAGTAATTCAAACCCGGTTCTAATATTTCTCATTCCGAGTGAATATTCATTACACCACGCGCAGACCACTATATCAAAGAAGAAGAATTTAGTGCTTGGTTTCATCTCTTGTTGACAGGCGTACACTACAGTTCAAAATTTTAAGGAAATCCCTGGTATCTTTTTTTTTTTTAAATTGGCTTCAAAAGTAATTGTTTTATACTTTAGGTATGAGAAAATTATTACGCATGGTTAAAAAAGTAAGAAAAAAGATTTTTATTACAAATAAAATGCATTTTATGTTTAAATTTTACTCTCGTCAATATAGCCTCCTTTAGCCTTGATTACTAGAACACCTATTTAAGTAGAAGCTTGATAAGTACTTCTATTCTTATTTTCAATTGCTCGAAGCACTCCTTTTCATTTTTTTCTTTCAATCTACTGAAACGTTCATCCTATGCTAATTCCACGGGTGGCACGAAAATTTTAAACTCTATTGTACATTCTATCTCAGAGATTCTTAACCTTTTTCTTTGTTCGCACCCCTTTCAAAGAACCAACCAGTTCCCGCACCCTCTTCCAGAATTGAAGAACAATATTGGTCTCATGGGTAAATAGCAAAACCATTGTTCTTTTTTCATCTTTATTCTCATAACTGACAACAAAATGATGGATGACCAAATCCCAGATTACTTTCATATTAGCAAAAAATAAAAATTATGGAGACATTAAATCTCACCTATAACTTCAGTTTACATCAACTGTCTTTAGTAGTTTATAAAATGATCCAGCAACAAATAATTAATGCACACT